CCTCCCTCCCTTCCTTCCTTCCTTCCTTCCTTCCTTTTTTTTCCTTTTTACCATCTTCTAAAAATATAAAAACTCTTCCATGCTCCTCTGGCCACACAAACAAGCCTCAGGCTACCTCTGGCCCTCTGGCCATGAGAAGAGATAAGTGGCAGGTAAGGTGGGAAACAAAGCAATTGTGCAGAGAGCAGAGGAGGGTCTGGCCTAGGGCAGTGGTGGTGCAGGCAGTGGTGAGGAGATGCAGGGGAATACATCTGAAATGCAATTAGTTACTCTCAACAATTGTTTGGCTAATAGATAATTAGGAAGAGAAGGGCAAAAAAATTGGGTGCAATTCTGAGCCTTCTTGCTTGAGAGACTAGTTGGTACTGGTATCATTTATCACCGAGACTCTAGGGGAGCTTGGAGAGAAGGTGCAGAGAAGTTGATGTATCCATGGGTCATCCAGGGAAAGGGTACCTGGGGAGAACTGTCTCTATGGGTCTACTGCCCAGTTTCCTCACATTTGGAACGTGTGCTTCGGAGATAACAGATTTGAAAGGATGGAATATCACAAGACACTATAGGACAGGAAAGAGCTGGTCCTTAGGAACCCTGAACTGGCCGTGGTGGATTTGGGATGAGTTGGAGAAGGTGAGACCAGAGCAGGAAGACCAGAGAGGAAGTTCTTGCAATAACCTGGGGAAGAGGAAATCGTGTCTCAGATTGAGTAGTGGCAGTGGAACAAAAAGAGGTGACAGATGAGAAAGGTGGCGTGGGGCAGAATCCCGAGGACTTGGCTCTGGGCACATGCAAGAAGAAAGAGGCGCCTTCTGTGATCCCCTGCCTTGAATTCCAGTGTCGTGGGATGACGCGGCCTCCATCCTGTTCTCTTTCTGATTCTTGTTTGAGAAACCTAGCTAAGCGTCTGAAGTACTCACAGTGTATCGTCTGACTACTTTGGTAGTTTTCAGTTTTGCAAATAATCCTACTTTATAGTGTAGTGGAGGACAGCCATGTCCCACCTGCAAAAACCTTTACGTATTCTCCCTTAACAATGAAGGGAAATTCAGAAGGAGTAGAACACTTGAGGAAAGAGTTTAAAAAGATACAAGATTTTGGAACTAGGATACATCTTAACCAAGGGCTTTAAAACTGTCTATAAGCAAGGGTAAGCTGTCAATCAGGGTAAACTTGCATGTTGCCGGCCTCCCTGCAATTCGCTACATTGGATCCAAACAGTTGCTTGTGGCAGTATAGCAGCAGATCTTCCTTAGAAGTAAGTGTAAGAGCCAATGAGATACAGTAACTGCACACCTGCCTTCCCAGTGCATTAAGCTGCTGTGTTAAACACATACGTAACCCCTCTGTCCACACTGTGCACTCACTCTAACACTCGAGATGCTTGGCAGTTAGACTAGACAGGGCACCAAACCTTTTTTTTGTCTGTTTGGCAATTAACCATTCACTGGCTTTTTTTGTTGTAACATGCACTTCCTTTCTCTTGTTTTCATTCAAGCTGTGTACGCCATGGAAATTAATGTGGAGAAAGACAAACAAACAGGAGAGACCAAGATTCTCTCTACATCCACCATTGGTCCAGAGGGGGTCCACCAGAGAGGAGTCAAAGTCTATGAGGATGGTACCAAAGTAGTGTATGAGGTGCGCTCGGGAGGCACCATAGTAGAAAACGGAGTGCACAGATTAAGCTCCAAGGATGTAGAAGAGCTTATTCAGAAGGCTGGACAATCAAGCCTAAGAGGAGGGCCCGTGTCAGAAAGGACTGTGCTTGCAGATGGGAGCCTCAGCCACCCTAAGGACCACGTGCTCTGCAAAGAGGCCAAGTTAGAAATGGTCCATAAGTCTAGGAAAGATCCCTCTCCCGGGAACCCAGGGCAGCGGGCCCAAGCGCCCAGCACTGAAGGGCCGCAGGCAAACCTGGATCAGCCCGTCACCATGATTTTCATGGGCTACCAAAACATCGAGGACGAAGAGGAGACTAAAAAGGTGCTAGGCTATGACGAAACCATCAAGGCCGAACTGGTCCTCATTGACGAAGACGACGAGAAGTCCTTGAGGGAGAAGACCGTGACGGACGTGTCCACTATTGACGGGAACGCAGCCGAGCTCGTGTCTGGGAGGCCGATCTCAGACACCACAGAGCCCTCGTCCCCAGAAGGGAAGGAAGAGAGCCTGGCCACAGAGCCAGCCCCAGGTACCCAAAAGAAAAAGCGCTGTCAATGCTGTGTTGTCATGTGACCACTCCTTTCTCCCCCTTTCTTCGGGCGGCCTCTGGGCCCCCCACCACTTCCGTAGACCTCACTGTACCACTAGCTGCAATACTGTGAACTGGAAGCCAGCACCTGCCTGCCTTGCAGTGGGATTGCTCTGATCTCTCTTACCCCCCCACCCCCGCCCCCCGCTTTCATTTTTCTCCAGTTCCCTCCCCTCAGAGACAACGTGCATGTGTGTGCTCCATTCTTTCCAAGAACTTGCTCTTCCTCTCAACCTTTCCTTGTGTCTTCAAGAGTGAACCGGTTCCTTACTGCTCGATCGGAACGGACTCTCCACGGCAGCGAGTTCTCTAGTAGCCTTAATCCACTTGCCTGGAACCGAACGCAGTGGCCCCGGGCTCTCGTTTCGTAGCGTGTTCCTATGCTGTACTCACACGTCGCCACGTCGCTGGTGTCTCCCTCGCCTCCCTTGCTGTGGATCTTTGCTTTTATTATATCATGTGTGGCAAAGCGCTGTTGGCTCTAGCCAGTTGCTAGCGTAGCCCAAAGTGGACCTTCCTTAGTCTGTGCCATCTAGGGTGATGCTTTCTGCTGCCTTACGTAAGCTTCCAGATTTCAGTATTGTGCATCTCTGGCTTTCCTTCTGTTACACCTGAAACGAAGCTGATGTAAAAGGAAAGGACCCAGGGCTTGTCACAGCGGGAACGTAGGGACTGATTTCCCCGACCTGCCCAGCAGCAGCTGTCCCTCATTCATGGCTTAACTGGTGGACCCTTTATATAAGAAGCACCATTTTTTTTAATTTTCTAAGGACGTGAAACAAACCTTGTTTTCAGCATTGGTAGTGATCTCCAAACTTAGGCAAGTCCACGAGCCTTGCTTCTGTTCTCTCGAAACAGCGTAAATTTTTATATTGTTTTCTTTTTCACGGATATTTTCTGATCATGTTCATCTCTTTTCAACGAAGGGGTCATTTTGGGGCGTATCTCTGCAGTGACCATATTTCTAGAACAGTATTTCTGACCTACAGTGGGGGCTCTGGTTCTCCCACTACATTGCGGATGGTGCTGTAACTGAATTTCCTATTCATCTCACCTGCCCAGTTGATTACAGAGCCTTACTTCTGGACTCTTTTCTTTCTGTCCCCACGAGAAAGAGAATGTTTCCCATAACGTCAGCATGTAGGTTTATCCACCTCTCAAAATAAATTTTAAAATGTAAAAAGAAAAAGAAAAAAAAGTAAAAGATTAAGAAAGACCTGTCTGAGATTCTCAACAGTAGGTGCTTAAGTTCATTCCACAAACACTGATTGGATTGAGTGGCACATAGCTGAGCTTCTTAAAGCACGTTTCTTAACCTTCTGGAGATTTCAGAACATCAAAGAATAGTTTTTATCTAGAACACAGTGAGCAATTCTTTAAATAAATTCTTAACACCCCCCCAAAGCAAATAGCCACACACAGAGTAAAACCAAAGGGAAGCAATTTAATAGCATAATCATATAGTAATGAAATAAAGATGTAACATTTTAACTGATTTTAGTAACAGAGATAACTTAAAGTTACTTGCCCGAATGTTAATAGCATTGTTGCAACTCACTGGCAAAATTGTCTGTGTTTTATAGAACATAGTTTCTAAAAACACACAGTAAGACATACTGTATCAAGTCTAACTTCTGTAAAAAGTAGATGAGAAAAAAAATAAGGTAGCCTTGAGAGAATTTGACTGCAGAACCAACTAAATTTGCCCTAAATAGCTTTCTCAGTGCTAAATCTATTAGTATTTTTAATTTCGTGGCTTGAAATTATATGTATTCTAATCAAAAAGAAAAAATACTTTTTATTGTTCAAGGTTAATTTTTCTCTGATAATTACACTTTAATGAGCACAGAGTGAGGCATTTTATCACCAATATGTAAACATAATAAGTGAAAGAAGGGAAACATAAAGGAGCTAAGTTTGCTTTCTAAGATGATTTCATCCATGGCTTGGTTCTGAACAGTTGAGGGAATTATCTCTAAATCTCAGGTTCACTAAAGCAGCTGCAATTGAATAAACCTGTTCTGTTACCTAGAACTAATACCTGGTTTTCCTGCTCCTCAGTAAATGGCCACTACAGCATTATTTAAATGTTGAATAAAATGACAGGCCAGATAAACCTATTTACATAGAGAAGAAAAAAAAACCAGTTTCAATGTTTGGGACAATCTGTTATTTTAATAATTTATTTAAGAAAGAAAACACTGAAAGTTTACCATAGCTTATCTTTCTTTTCTTTTCTTTTTATTCCCTTGGGGATTAAAACCAGTCACTATGAGTTTTTTTCAAGCACAGTTAATGAGTGGAAGGGTGGAACTCAGAAGCCTTGGGCTTGCTGGCTGATAACCTGAATGGGTCTTCTAGGACAGACCTCCCTGTGGGGCCCGCCCTTCCTCCCAGAAGTGAACCCCTTTCTCACGAGGAAACTGGCCTGCAGCCCCCACTCCAGCACTGTACCGAAGACCTGAACGACCAGTGATAACCTGCACTCTCACTCACCAATTGTTACTATAGGGATTAGCCGTTTATACGAATTAGCGTGCTCTCTATACTTTTACTATAAAGCTGATCATCTAATGGTTTCTAAAGTAAGATGTGCTGCTTTTAGTACGATGATTTGTGGCCACAGTGAATGCAGGTGCGTTCGGACACGGCACCTGTCTTTGCACCCTTTGTGTCATGTCCCTGCTACAGTGGGGGAGTCGGGCTCAGCTGGTACTTTTACGGGGGGAGACCTACAGTCCCACCGGCAGCAAGTAGCTCCCCTTCATGATGAAAATGTCGAGCTGTGCGTGTGAACACCTGCCTCCCCTGCTGTCACTGGCGTGCCGTGTGTGCAGACTTACATCAGCAGACTAATCAGAGCATCAGTAATGAAGCTGCAAAACCATAGTCTTTTTTGAACTAATGGTTGGTTGGACTTTCTCTTAAAATCATATAATTAGTTCCCTTTTAAATGGAAAGACAAGCAAGAGAGAGAGAAAGGATATTTTATTTGTTTATAAATAGGTTTTCGGTGGCTTGAAGACCCTTTAAGGGTTAAAATGGTAAGCTTAGCCTTATATAGCCTGAAAAATCTTGATGACTTGTATATCCTTGACTTTTTCTTTTTTTTGGTTTGATGTGTAATAGGACAAACTACGGGGATTTTTTTTTTTAACTTGTACCTCTTTTATTCATCAGTATATTAATTCTTGATATAAGCAAAAATTAGTCGGCTCTAACAGTGATTTGACAATGCCCAGTGATGTCACTTAATGCTGGGAGTAGAGAAGACAAGGGGCTAGGGAATTCCCTTCTGGCCAAACCCAAAACATAGTTTCCTTCAGTGTCCGGAGCAACCTACACTTAGTCAAAGACTTTCAGGAAACTCAAAACAACTTCTAGTGTTTATTTCATTCGACTTCTTTCTGAAATGTTGATAGACATGTATCTGCTTCAAACCCCACTTATTCCATCTTACTCCTGGTAATACATGTGTTTTTCCTACATGCAAGTAGAATATTTTACTTTGGGTAGGGTCGAGTTTTTATAAAAAGAGAGAAACTATATGTCTAGAGTTATAATATCTCTGGGGCAAAACATTGAGGCCAAGTGTGAAAACAGCTTGTTTCTCTTCACTTCTGTGGAATTTCATTTCAAAGAGCCACAGAACACCCTTGGCAATGACCATTTATTTAATTCCAAAGAACGAACAAGTAGCAGAAGGGGAGGAGGGTTATGGTGATAGAGGCAAACACTGAACCACTAAACCAGTACTTCATTTTAAAAAAAACATGTTTTTATTGATTTCAGAGAGAGGAAGGGAGAGGGAGAGAGAGAAATAGAAACATCAATGATGAGAGAGAGTCATCAACAGGCCCCCTACCGGGGATCAAGCACATGCCCTGGCCAGGAATCGAACCATGACCTCATGGTTCATGGGTCAACACTCAACCACGGAGCCCCGCCTGGCCGGGCCCAGTGCTTCCTTTTTATAAAGCATTAACCCTGTCAATCTAAGACAAGATGAACACAAGGAGACTTGACTTGGGGTTGTGAACACACAATACAACATACAGGTGACGGAGTATAGAATTGTACACCTGAAACCTATATAATTTTATTAACCAGTGTCACCCCAATAAATTCAATTAAAAAAATACACCAGAGCCCGGCCGGCATGGCTCCGTGGTTGAGCATCGACCTGTGATCCGGGAGATCGCGGTTCGATTCCCGGTTGGGGCACATGCCACAGTTGCGGGCTCGATCCCTGGCAGGGGGTGTGCAGGAGGCAGCCGATCAATGACTCTGTCATCATTGATGTTATTCTCCCTCTTTTTCCCCCTCTCCCTTTCTCTCTCTGAAATCAATAGATATATTCCAAAAAAAAAATGATAACAAAAAGTAATATATATACTTTATTTAAAAAACAAAACAAAAAACACCACAGATGAACATAGACAAAATATACCCAGAGGACATTTTTTGTTCTTACTTAAATCTAGAAGCCCAGCTGCCTCTCTTTGTCACTAGATCCCTGTGGAGTTTAGTCACTGAAGACCCCATTCCTTGTGGGAATAGTCTCATCTCCCTCGATGTTGCTTTGTTGACAACACACTCCGAGGCGAGCAGTTTTATGTTGTATTTTTGCAATATGCACATTTGTTATTGAAACCACAAATTCTCAGCATCGCTAAGACATAAGTATCAGAAACATTGCAAATATGCAATCTTTTAGGAGCCCCTCAATTTACTGAGCCAGGTGTGTAGAAGCCCACTGACTAGGATAGAACCAGAAGGGCCCTGTGTCCTGCTGGGCGATGCCACCAGCAGGTGCGTGGAGTCACAGCCTGGAGCACAGAACAGCTCGAAGTCATGAGCGAGACGGGGTCTTTGAGTCCTGCTGCCAGCTGACCATTGTGTAGCCCTCTTCTGGTCTTACCAAGAAAGTTTTCCCGCAT